TAAATATTTTTTTAGCGCCCCCATATTTCCACATATTTAAAAACCACTATAACTTCAAACTAAATTAATTAATTATTGTGACCTATATATGTATATTAACGGAGGATTCTAAACGAAACTTTTACTATAACCCGCAACTTGAGACCTGCAGCGCCCACAAGAGGGCGTTATCGCCCACTTTGGGAAAGCCTGGTCTGGAAGAACCCGCACGGACGGAGTCGCAGGCGGCAAGTCTTTTTTGCATGGGAAAACTAACAAATCTCTCACCATTAGGAAGAGTTCCTCAACATCAGGAATGGACTTGAGCATCCTCTTGACAACCAGGTGGAAGTTGGAGGAGAACTCCTCAGCGGGCTTGCCGCACTTCAGCATGAAGCGTATTGTGCCGCGCAGAATGATATTGGTATGTTGTGTCTGGAAAAATTTAAACATTCATGAGCAGAATATCTAGAAATAAGTTGGTTATCAGTGTTTTACAATAGTGGGGGCAAATATTTTCAATTCATTAATTTATAATGGGAAAAAAACTACGCAAAACAGTTTCAAATAGTCTTTTTTAAACAAGCAATCGCCCGCGATTTCGTCAGCGTAGAATTAAAAAAGTAGCCTATAATTACGCGTGCATCAACTACCTTCTCATTAAAATCGGACCAGTGGTTCTGGAGGTTACCCGGAACAAACGCGGTTTTTAGACAGAAAGAATTTTAACAATTGTTTTTTTTACGTAATATAATATTTTTTTTGATATTACATACAGACAGTCTTTTTATTAATATATATTGATACATACAGAGAGCTGAGTACAGGCGAACTGTAGCCAGGGCTCGAGGACGTGCAGGAAGCTGATGGTAGACTTAATGTTGCTGGCAATCTTCCACCAGCTCTGGCTGAGGGCTTCCGACGACAGCCGGTGGTGGCTGCCTGCCTTGCAAAGATGCTCGCCCAGAGAGGCCAGTACTGGGCTCAAAAGAACTATTTAAAAAGTAAGTGTTTTGCTGTTTACATTACCGAAACATTTGTACAAATACATATTGATTTCTTTCGTAAAAAAAGAAGTAAAATACCTCTTTTTTTGACCAGAATTTTTACACGGATTTTTTACGCATTTAAGGAATTTTAAATTTAGGAACAGTAAAGTTGCCTACGAAAAGATTTGTTTCATTTTAACAAAAATTGTGTTAATGCAAGAAAAGTAAAAGAATGTTAAAATTGTCGATAAATATAGTAATTCTTAAGAATTTCGAGCGTTCAGAAAAATATCTTTCTCACCCATTTTATCAGCAGATTTGTGTATCATTTCCAATATTCTTGATGACTTTTCAATAATATCTTGAGATTCGAATGAAGATAGAATGCAGGCCAGAAACAATTCACTTGAAATAGATCTGGATTTTTTCAAAGTAAAAAAAAACATGAGTAAATTAACTAGTAATGTCAATAAATAAATAAAACATGATTCAAACTTTATTGCAGGTCGCTTAAGCGCAAATATTCAGAATTAAATGTAGGAATTCGGTATACCGTCTCATTCGAAAATACGATTCGCCATAAAGTTTGGATAGCACTATACAATTTTTTATTTATTACATACTTATTTTCAAGAACATCGCATTGATCCAAAAACTCCTCCAATAGTGTATGTTTAGATTTGTGATAGTTAAGTGTTCCAAACATCAACCAGTTGACTGCCGGTTCATAAAGATTCAAGTATTGATCTTGTGTTAACAGTTGTGTTCCATACTTTTTAGTCATCATTGGATGGAAAATCTGTTAAGGTAAAAAATATTTTTTTATGTAACCAAAATTAAAGCTCACAAAACAACTAATTTAAAAAATGAGTACAAAACCATTAGGATCAATTGTCAGATTTAAATCTTAATAATATTAGAAATGCGAATATTTATATGTTTGTTATAAGGTATCTCCGTAACGGCTGAACGGATCTTGATGAAATTTGGCATTAACATAGTCTGGAAAAACACATAGGCTAAGTTAAGTTTTTTCTCAGCGCGGACGGAGTCGCGGATGTAAGCTACAAATATTTTCATACCTGTTCATAGTCCTCCAGGAATTCTTTAAGATTATCAAAGAAAAATTCCTCACTCTCCCTTCCTAACAGCTTCGCCGCAACATTACATAGGTATACACGTAAATAAACCGCAACCAACGGGTTAGCAATCCCTCTTATCATTATTGTCAGTCTTTTAATGATTGGTTTGATTTCATTTTTGTTAATAAAAACGTAGCATTTCAACAAAGACATTTCCATATATAAACGAGGTAGTAATTCTCTTATGGACGCCATTTTAAACATCCAATTCTGACAAGTCTCTTTAGCTGATTCTGGGACTCTTGCCGGATCTATGTCCATTGGTGATTTAATTACTTGGTCACTGTAATTGAACTTTACAAGTTAATAAAGTAATTGTATAGAGATTTAACATATAGGAAAGTACCTTTACATATACAGCAAATACCAAATGATAAGAACTCATGTATAACAAATTAATACTTACCCTGTGCTTTTATTTTTTAACCTATTGAATACCAAATTGCCAAAATTGTCCAATATATCACAAATTAATATAAATTTGCTTGGATAAAACTGCATTACATTAAAGTCTGAAAGTAGCTTCGAGCACTGAATGCATATTTTGAAGGCTTTTACTCTTTGTTCTGTATCCCATGCCTAGCAAAGAAAAAAATAATTATAATGCAGTTGAACATGTATATGCATGAAATCTCTATGAGCGAGAGTCATTTTCTGTTCCTAACAGATGAGCTTCATAAGTGAGAAACTCAGGTTAGAGAAAAACCTTTATAAGTGAGAAAATACAGCAGTCCCTTTGTCTCTCTTCCATGTATAAAATTATTAAAAAGTTTATTCTGAATTTTAAGCCATTACAATCACATAAACATCTTTATTAAAAGTAAGGCAAATAAAAACATCATACATACCTTTTTAATTTCTTCATCAAGCATATTTATTTTTCCGACAAACTCCTGTTGACTGAGCCCTATAGTCTTCCTAATAGAACCCTCGTCAAAGTCATCCAACTGTTCTAATCTATGTTTTACTTTCTCATTCAAATTTGATACCTGTCTTATAAGAGCTGAAAATGAACTAACTTAAAATGTAACAAAAAAGAAAAAGAAAAAATTATCGATTAATTTAATAAACTCTGAATCACACCAGGACACCTTAGGACAGGCAATTAAATGTATAGATATTATTAAAAATCTTTAAAATGTTAAAAGTTCTATATAAGTATTAAAGCTAAGATGAAACTTTATTTTTATGTATAAGGAGCTAGTGTTTTTAATTTTGTTACCTTTTTCTCCACCCGGCAAAAAACTGCTTACAATTGTCAACTTTTCTCCTGTTGTATATTTGCTTAATATATTTGCTCTTCTTTTGCTCCATACTTGTATGTAATTTTTTTGTGTATCTATTTCAATTATAGGTTCCAAGTCCTTTACAAAACATCATGAAAATACTGATAAGAAGAACAATTACTAAACAAATCATGTAAAAAATTTAAGTATTTATATATATAAATTATAGTATGGTTAAAATATGCAGAAGCAACAATAGTATCCATATTTTTATACTACTTGGTAAATTTAAGATTCGGATAAGATTTAGACATCTGTGGTAAAAATAAATCATAAAAATCATTATTATTAAAACACTTTATTTTTTTATTACCTCATTATCATTAGCCTGTTCAAATTTCAACAAGGGGTCGGGTTCATCAAATGCTTCACTCCATTTGTTTATACTTTCAATAAAATTTTTGCTCTTACTCTGTTTCTGTAAAAAAATCTTGTCTTGTATAGTAACACAGTGTACACTTCACTATTACACTTTTAAATAACATATAACTAACCATATTTGTGACTTCAACTTTTAATGGATGGGAGGATACTTTTAAGCTGGGGTAATCATGACTATTCTTGGTTGTTTTTTTAAGTGTAGTCCTGTTATTGTAAATAAACATTATTTTAAAATGATTATTGTAGTGCAATAAATATATCAAAACTTTCATTATTTAACTTATCTGATTACCATTTATAAGTGGGCATATCGCTTATCTATAAGTTTTACGATAGTTAATTAAAAATTATATATAAACTTTCTTTAAATGCATTGAAAACAAAAATTAGGGATAATGTCAGAACGTTGTTGTTGTTTTTATTATTCACTCGAAAGAGCAGGCAAAGGAACTAAGCCATACAGCCTAAAATGTCAGAACGACAGTGACATCTTCTTTGACAATACAAGAATTACAGAATATAGTTTTTATTATTTTATGACCTGGTAACATAGACCTTTAGGTCACACAGAATATAGGTATATGATGACAGTTGCAGATGAAATAAACTATACAGATTGCAACCGAGTGTCAGCCAGATAGGAAAGACACAGATTTAGGATTTGGCGACATCCTAGGACTTCTATCTCGCCTCTACCAAATTCATACATCTGCTCATTTGTCCTCATTGGTTACAGGTGCTCTAAAGACAGCCCTTTTTACTCCCCTCCTAATGAAGGTTATGTCACCAATCTAGTCCGTCTAGGGCAAATATAAACTGTAATATATTAATAAGCCTAGACTCCAGACCGATCCTCGTTCGACACGTTCGCGTACGAGTTTAATTTCGTTAAATCAACTTCAAATGACGGATATAAACTTGGTTATTCTGAGTGGAGAAATACGTGTAAAACATATATTTGAAAGAACTAAATTGTTAATGGATGTTAACTGAAACCAACAATTAATACCTATTATTTAATAACAAATAATTTTATTAAACATAATATACCTGTATCACAATCAATTAATCTAGTATACAATTTCTTAGAATAAGAGATTATCACAAATTTAATTACCTTATTCATATAGAAATTTGCAAAATATACTATTTTTCGTACAACAGTAATAAATAATCCTTTACCTTAAAATAGTCAAATAATTTATTATATTTTAAATCACAATCCAAAATTTTAATCTGTTAAGGTGTTTTCAACACTCATATTACAACAGAAATAAATAACTTTAATTATAATACTTTGTAGAAATACAATCTGAAATACTATGACTACATTACGTTTATCTAGAAGGAACTTTAATACTAAACTTGTGATTGAGTTATATATTAAATTCAACCAAGTGTAGTATAATACATCTTATGCTACTTTTAGAATGTCATACAATTGGAATCATTGTTATTGTAATACTTAAAAACAATAATTTATCTTGATGCCAAAATGCCACAATCTTAAAAAACAAAACAAACAAGCCACATTAGCATAACCAAATTACAAATTCTAATACTGATATTCTATCTGTTAACAAAAAAATCGTCTAATAAATATTGTCAAATAAATAAATTGGTGTAACATGTAACAATTTTCATATATTACTCAGCATTTTAACATTGCTTTGTTTTGCTCTTTGAGGTATATCTTCCTTCTCAAGATGTTTCATATATGCAAGAAAGCAGGTCCACATGAGACTACACACACTGATGAAAGGTACCCTGTTCTTTGGTGGAATGAAACAGAAGTTCACTAGAGCCACAGCTGGCCATATGGAGGCTCCAACCTGAGAAAAATGTGATGTTAATTTTCACTTTATACAATTATTATGACATTTTGTAATAACTAATAACCCTTGACAGGATGTAATTAAAATTTAAAAGAAGTGTGTTCAAAGAGCATGTTTTGCCCCTATCAGAGACTATAGAGTTCAGGGTGATGATGACATGACATGGGTGTAACAGACAATTTTATATAACTTTTTAAAGCTGTCATATATGGAGTATATTTGAAAGGCATCCAAAGGGTATGAAAAATATTAACTTAAACATGTACCTTATATGTAGGCCAGAATTTTGCGTTAACTTCTGCTACTGCTTCATCAAAAGATTTCATCTCCAGCAAACTCATCCCAAAGTAAAAACTGCACATTGCAAATGGAGTGTATGTCACAGTTTCAATAGCTGTCTGAAAATAAATATTCATATGTTTCAATGTTTTAAAACTAAGTGAAAAAGTCAATGACACAATGAAAAGAAAATTATCTAAAATATGCTAATTTTTTCAAGGTTATTTCCAAATTATTTCAGACTGTCAAACACTATATTATAATAATTTGACTGCTTTGCACAAGAAAATTACTATCAACATTACAGCAAATACATTAATAGAAAAGCAAACTTTTTGATAATAGTAAATTTTTAAATATTAACACATCTGTTAATGTTTTTTAAATTATCCCATTTCATCAAAAATAAGCAATAAATGTACCTTTATAAGTCCAGCACGAATAGTATTTCCAGGCCACATAATACTTGCTATAGTTAGCCATGTGTACAAAGTAGGAGCAACATAACATGAACCCCATAAGCCAAAACGTGCACATCTCCACCAATCATAGCCTTCATCTGAAATGTACAATTATTCACTACATAATAGCTGTACATAATATATATGATTGACTCTTCACCCACATATGTTACATAAAATTATAATTCATAGCTTACCACTGTCTTTTGTTTCAAATGTCTGTTGGATAAAACTTGAAATTGGCCAAATAACGCCATAAGATGCCATACCCCTTAATAAAGGATAGTTATCATACACTAATTTTATTTTACTTAACACACTCATATTTGAAGAGACAATTAAACACAGTTTGAAACTAATAGAAATGTATTTAAAGAAAAAATTAATTTCAAAATGGGAAAATGTTTTTCTGGCAATATCTCAACTACGACTAGTCAACTCGGAAGTTTTAACTGAGACCACTGACGAATCTATTTCTAAACATGGCCTTGGATGGCTTTTTCGCAGTATGTTTAATTTCAGCACGGATCACAATCTAAATTAGTTACAAGTAAATCAATTGGTATGCAGGTAAAATGATGCGTAACATAATATGCATTCATTGTTTTTTTTTTTTAAAGAGGAGATATACTTGAATTTTTTCACAAATTCAATTTTTATTTGGATTGCAGGTTAGTTAATCAACTTTACGTCAATGTCAATGTCAAGTTGTCAAGTCAAAAGTGATTCAACACGTGGTTGTTTGTCAATGTCAGATGATTGTGACTTTTGGTACGTTAATACCCGGTTTTCATTTTGTTTTGCCAGTACGGTAGCACAGCCTGGTATCGATTATTTTGATGTTTTGATTCATAAATGCCAGTAAATGTTCACATTATGCCTGTTGTATGTCTTGAATGAGCAACTGTCCTACTGTACTAGTATAAGAAACATTTTTATATTTTAAAGTAATTCTATGGAAAAGTAGATAAAATAATTTACAATACGTTTTGGTTCCTAAAAATTTCATAAACATAAATGCAGCTTATTCATAACGTTTATCTATTTTTTAACATATTATTTAGATTTTAAATCCCAATTACAAATATATTGACACAATTTCTTATCTTTGCCATATGCGTGTGTGCGACATTTAGAACCAGATGTTTTGTACTCTATGAAATAATTAGCATATCATGTGTAGGAATATTTGCTATTTATAAAATAAGTAAACATCTATTTAAATATTTGTCAGGTTCAAAATCAATAGCTCAACAATCATTTATTGATCAATTTAATCCACCCTCAACATCTCAAACTGCTAAGAAAGGTAAGTTAAGTTTGTAGGTATTATTAGGTATGATAGTAGGTAGGTAGGTAAATAAATGGTTAGTAGGTAGTTAGCGAAAGTCAATACTCAAAATCAGTATGGTGTGTTTTGGGAGAAGTTTATTTCGATTACTATTTAATCGGTTTAAATTTTACAGATAACAAATTGTCAGAGTATTTCATCATGAAGCACAAAAGTGCTCAGAAAAATGTTCGATTATTAAAAACCCAGCTGCGAAAGACAAAGAAAAAAGTGTTGAATTATAAGTCCCGTTTGTCAGCCAGTAAAAAAGTCACAGCAAATATGACATTAGCAGCAAAGATTTTAACCGGAATTCAGTTTCGCCAGCGCTTTGAAAAAGCCTAAAGGTAGAAGGTACAATATAGAAGAAAAGTTAATGACTTTATCCCTCTACAAAAAGAGTCCAAAAGGATATTCCTTATTTTCAAAATATTTAAAATTGCCATCTACAAAATCCCTAAAAAATTTGCTCAGTGGGATTAAATTGTCTCCCGGAATAAATAAAACAATTTTTGAAAAAATAAATGAAACTGTAGGTGGGCTTCAAGTGCAAGGCCGTCTGTGTACTTTGATTTTTGACGAGATGTCTTTAGAGCCAAATGTGCAATTTGATCCTGCTAAAGACCAATTTAAAGGCTTTATAAGCCATAGCGATGGACTAAAAATTGCTAACCATGCATTGGTTTTTATGGTTAAAGGAATAAAAAAGAATTATAAGCAACCTGTGGCTTACTATTTCACACAGAGTCTGAAGATGCCTGAACTAAAAAAAATAATAAAAGAAGTAATTCAACATGTGCACAGCACGGGTCTGGAAATATTGTGCACAGTCTGTGATCAAAGTGCAACAAATGTTAGTGCTATTAACAGTTTAGTAGCCGAAACAAAAGAAATTGTTTTAAAGGAAGGCAAAGAATGGCGTGAAGAAATATTTTGTATAGTATTTGGGTATTCTCTGGATTGTATGTTAACAAGACATTTTAATCAGGACCCAATAGAAAAATTTTTTGGCAATATTCGAAGCTCACCAAACCACACCAAACCAACACATACCCACACACACATACACATAGACATATATCACCAAACTGCCAAGCATTTGAAGGCGCTTTCAAAACGCTTTTACTTAATAATTATACCTGTCGGCATTCTATTAATGCCAATCGCGAAGAAGATTTTAATGAATGCTTACAAACATTGCAATTTTTGTTAAAAGAAAATAAAAAACAAAATGAATTAGAAGTTCACAATAATTTTGTTCTTAGTGAAAAAATGTTCGAGGCAATCACTAATATACAAACGGGAGTATGTGACATCTCCATTACTTTAAAAAGATATGTTTGTGGCTGGGTGGTAACAAAATGTTTTAAAAAGGTGGTTAAAAATTGCAATACGTGTCGAAGAATATTAACTGATACAAATGTAAATAATGCAGAAAATTCCTGCTTAAAAGCGAAAGAATATGACTCAAATAAACAATGCCTATGTTACCCTTCTGATGAAATGTCAAATACTTTTTCTGAAATCGAAAAAATAACGTCAAAGTATTTAAAAACAAACGTTCAAAAGAATAAACCAAAAGAACATATAAAATTTCTCATCAATATATTTACAGAATTTCATATTAATTGCGATAGACATGGAAAAAACATACAAAATTATTTTATAGATGTATCAATAAATATTTTACTTTTTAGTTGGTGTCGAAATATAAACCGTATACTAACTGGAAAAATAACAAATTCTGATTTAGATGATCCAATAAAAAATAGTGCTCAAATATATTATAACACTCATAAAAATAAAAAGCAATAGTTTAAATCCAGTCGCTACTTATGGCAAAAATGAGAAATTCTGTGATCATCCAATCAATATTCCATTGCAAAATCATTGGTAAGCAACACCAAGAAATAATAATTAAAGATAAAATAAATGCTTATAAAACTGAACTGAAAAAGCGATCCCGTTAGTTTTAGGAACCGTTAATGATTCGTTTGGTTTATAATTTCAGGATCCGAAGGCGCTGTGGACGTCGGAAACGCATGATTTGTGGCGAGTGCGGCGCTGTGAGACTGCATGCGGCGTGGCGCATCCGGACTTGCAGCTAATCAGCGCATGGTCATGCTGGCCGTTCCCTGACATATTCCCTACATGCCGGAAGAAGGTATTTATATTATTTATCGTATTCATTTTTAAACAGAAATTTTGAAAAAAAAATTTAATTTGTAAATGTTGAAATGTAAAGAAAAAATAAACTATATTATAATATTATAAAAAAACTGAAAGAAACTGCCAGTTGCCACTACCATAAAGCTCGCATCGTTTTTGGCAGTCCTATACTCTTTGTTACAGCAAATGTAATTTGCAAAAGTTTATACTGTATATTAAAAATATTGAGTTGATATAATGAGCAGAATTGTGATTTATGCTACAAAAGCCGTGTTGTATTAGTTTCCTTTAATTGATTAAAAATACACACATAGAATGGTTCTTTCAACTCAATACTTTTTACGTATCAATTAACTTATTTGACTGAAAATCATAATCTGTTGTAGATGCACGGCTTTCCGCATCCTGAGAGACGGTCAGAGATTTCTAGAAAATGTGTGTCAGTCACTGGAAAAAACACACTGATCCTATGAAAATACGATAGTTTGTGCTGTGTAAAATGTGAAGTGATATATTATTTCCAAAAATGATATATTGAAAAAAAAAGCCAACCGAAGTGTTTTGCTGTCCCATCTTTAGAGTTATAAGGAGGGTTTATATGTGTATATGTAATGTATAAATTATTTAAACAAGTTCACTCGGGTAAAGTGTATTCATTTTCTTTATTGTGACAATTTAAAATGTAACATAGATATTTTAATTATTGTTAATTTTTAAGTTTTTAATAACTAACTAAGAGTATATGTTCACTGTGTTTAAATTTGCTATAACTACAAATTGCCAGTTGCCGGCTTGCATTTGACTGAAAATATTTTGGGGTTTGGTTTTTAATAAAAGAGTATGCATTTTTTGTGACCGCGCTATACTCTTGATAACAGTAAATGGAATTTTTAAATATGTATCTCAAACATTAAAATATTGAGCTGATATCATGATAGGGTTTGATGTATATACTTGTATATATTAAAGTTTAAGTTGTATAAAAATATTAAATAATGTACAAAACTATATTTTTTTTTGTTTTTATTTCCCAAATAATAATAGGATCATTTTAATAGAGGTATTTCATAGAAGGCTACTTGATATCGGCTCACTATATTAATAACTACATAAGTGGGTATATTATTTTTGAACATTGATTTAATGTCAATTTTAACTTTATTTATTAGGTTCCCACTTATTAGTTATTATTATAGTGAGCTAAATAAGCGTGCCTACGTATTTAGGTACCAAAAAAAAAAATAGTTCAGCGATTATACGCATGGAGCGCCACAATCGCCGTGGATCCACGACTTCGTGCGAGTTGCCCCTCTTTCTATAGTATACTTATTATACTCTTTGATAATTAGGAAAATCTGTGAAAGAACTTGGAACTTGCTTTGACTCGATTCAATATTTATTTAATTGACGTTCCATGTTTCAATGTAGTTAATAATATTTATTTTATATTAGAATATAAGTGTAATAAGGTGAATGATGAGCTGAACATGCATAGGTAATTTATAATTTCTGCCGATCACTACTAGCTTTATTAAAAATGTCTAGTAATTCTCTTTTATTCTCAATCAATAATGAGGGTAAAGTGTACGCTCTCTCGACGAGTGGATCTTGTTGGAGAGAATTTATGTACCTTGGTATAGAGTTTAAAACATTGTCAGCAGTGCCGCATTTTTTGTGGGCAGTGGGAGGTGATCGGCAAATTTACCTTCACGTCCACGGTCTAGAGATACCAATTCGTGTAAAAGAGGAGTCCTATGAAAACGAGAGATGGCTTCCTTTGGAAGGGTTTTCTGGAAGACTTCTACCAACAGACAGATATCATTTTTCGTCTCAGGATGGAAGCAAAGACAGGTCAATAGATTCCATAAGGCTTCCTTCTATGGCGTGGCAATGGGAAGGTGACTGGCAACTGGAATTGACATTGGATGGTCAACCATTAGATCATGATGGATGGAGTTATGCAGTTGATTTTCCTGCACAATTTGGTCCAGTAAAGCAGTGGAAGTCTTGTGTGAGAAGAAGGAAATGGATTAGGTACCGAAAATTTAGTGCAATGAATTCATGGTGTGCTATAGCTCCTCTACACAAAGATCCAACGCAAGAACCTTTCATAGATGTTAACATTGGTGGTAATCAAATTCCATATGCTTCACCGGGCACACTTGCAGTATGGGCTATCACAGCTCATGGGCGTGTCATGTATAGAACTGGTGTTAGTACAAGTTCTCCTGAGGGACAAAAATGGATCAATGTCAGTATTCCACCAAATTGTGATATTAAGCAAATTTCTGTAGGCCCTACAGGTCTTGTTTGGGCCTTATTATGGACAGGAAGGGCTATAATTAGAAAAGGAGTAACCAAAGATTGTCCCACTGGGGAAGCATGGCTTGAAGTCAAATCTCCTCCTGAAACAAAACTTTCTGTCCTTTCAGTTGGTGTCAATGTTGTTTGGGCTGTAAGCACTGACACTAGAGTATGGTTTAGAAAAGGCATTGATGGAAATTCAGCAGGAAATTCAGAAATAGCTGCAATGGGAACTGGATGGTTGGAAATAAATGGAAACATGGTTCATGTATCTGTAGGCATCAATGATCAAGTTTTTGCAATTGGAGAATCCAATAAGAATGTTTATTGGAGAAGTGGTATAACTCCGGCTGAGTTGACTGGCAAAAGATGGAGGATGGTGCAGGCTAATATGCAATTGAGTCGAACATCAAGTACAGCAAGCATTATTTCATCAGCTTCTAATCCAAAACATCATAGCCTCACAATGTTAACTGAATCAAACACAAGTGAGTTAAAGTCTAACATTAACTTGCATAGCTCTTGGGAAGAATCACATTCTGCACCCATTGAGAATACATTACCTATAAAATCTGCTAGAGAATCTAGGGCTAAGAAGAGTAATAATGTTGAGACCATTGACCTAACTGGGAAAAGTTATGAGACAACATTAAAAAACCCCCGTGCATGGAGCCCTGTGCGCAGTGTAGGCTCTGTTGTTGGTATGGAAGCACAACCTGACAGTGACAGCAGTGTATTTGATACGGATGCTGGAATGTTTTTTGATGATGAAGTAAGTCAAACAGCATGGGGAACTTGTGATACATCCTGGGCCTTTGTGGAAGCAGGTGGCTGTTCTGTGGATACAGTACAAGTGCCTCATTGGTTTTCAGACTCTCAAAATGCTTTTAATTCGGATATCACAGCTAAATGGAGATTTTCAATATTAGAAAGTTTAAAAAGTAGGAACAATGTGGATGTAGATTTATCTCGCTATGGTTTGGCAATAGAAGAGAAAGGTTGGACAAGAAGCAGTGAGGCAAGGTTAGTCAATTCTAATAACTCAAGTGAAGACTGCATAATCTCTTTGTATTGGCATGCTATTGAGAATACTGGCACCTTATCAGTTTTCCAACCTGATGGGACAATCAAGTTTATTCTAAATTTAGGTGAGATCAGCAGTGTTACTACATGTTCAGAGCCAGGAAATCCCAGAATTTCTTTGGTTGTTCCAAACCAAAGTAAAGATGTGATTAAAATACAATATATGACTGAAATGGAACAGGAGGAGTGGGTGAATGTGTTAGTTGATATCACATCTCAAATACATGGACTATCCGGTAGGCCTTCCAATAACTCTGTATGGGCTGTAACAAGTTCAGGAGACATACTGAACTGGGATCCTTTGCCAGCTAGATTAAATTGTGAAGAAAATGGTAGATATACAAAAGAATTCCAAGTCTTCGGAAATAATATGACTTCTGGGTTTTCAACAGCACTGCACAATAATTTCACACCTGGTTGCATACTAAAAATGTCAGGATGTTTATTTGATGATGTAACAAGATTTCACATTAACCTCCAGGGTCCTGAAGTAAAGAAGCAAAGGCATAAAATTGAGACAGAAGTAACTGAAATTCCTTTTCACTTTAATGTTAGATTTGATGAAAACACAGTTGTGTGTAATACCAAAGTTTCTGGTAATTGGGGAGCAGAAGAACGTCACAAGCTACCCTTGGCTAAAGGTCAAGAGTTTTCCATGAAAATCGTATCTGAAATTAAGGGATTCACTGTAGTTATCAATGATGAGAAGTATTGCTCTTATAAACATAGAATATCACCTGAAACAATAACTTCTGTATTAGTTCAGGGTCAGTTGAGACTTTACACAATGGAATATTCATCAACTAGCGTGATAATTGGTCCTGATGAAATGTTCTGGCGTATGATGGGAGGTTATTTACGTAAAGTCGAGTGCAGTCAGAACGGTTTTGTCTGGGGTATTTCTCATGACCACAGGGCTTGGGTTTACACTGGAGGTTGGGGAGGTGGTATTTTAAAAGGTGTGTAAAAAAAATAATATGTATAAAATGATTAAAAGAGCTATAATTGTTTTAAGAGCTGTTATATTTAAAATGTAATAATTCCAGGAATTGGTGGAAACGAAGCTATCCATGCCATGACTGATACTCAAACTTACTGTGTCTATGAAAATCAAAGGTGGAATCCACTGTCAGGATATACATCCACTGGGCTTCCCACTGACCGCTATATGTGGAGTGACATAACTGGAAAACTAAAAAGAACAAGGGAACATACCAAGCTGCTAAATCGACATTGGCATTGGGTATGTTAAATTTGTCTTACCAATTACAAATTATATATAAAACTTTTGCTTAGAATTTTCAACTATGCCTATTGTTTTAGGTCTCTGAATGGATGGTTGATTACAATACGCCTGGAGGGGTTGATAATGAGGGATGGCAATACGCAACAGATTTTCCGGCTCCATATCACGGCAAAAAGATATTCACAGATTGTGTTCGGCGGCGAAGATGGTACAGAAAGGCACAAATCAATACTGAGGGGCCCTGGGTCCGTGCTGGAAATACTGGACTGCTTGATATTTCTATTTCGGTATGAGAAAATGACATATTCCCAACTTAGTTCTCTAGAATTAACGAGTTTATGAGGAACCTTAATGTACCAATATTTAATATTAATTAATATTATGCCCTCAATTACTAAAATTAATTATTACAGAAATATCTCATCAAATTATATTGGCAATATTGTTATTAATTTTATTAGTTCAAATGTTCTTTGGTGTCTAGACACCACCAGTGTGTCGTTATAGAAAAGTGTCATACTATTAAATGGCTACCCATTTAATGGTATGACACTTTGCATTATTTATATTAGTGTTTTTTTTAATAGACTAATGGAAAAGAGACATCTGTGTGGGCAGTGACTATTGGAGGTGACGCCATCTACAGGACTGGAGTTACACCCACCACTCCTGCAGTAAGTGTATTGACCGATTCTATGAAGAATTTAATTCTCAGTAGGATTGCTATACACTGTAGTTATTTTTACAGTTACGTGTTTTCTAGTATGTTTTATCCTAATTAAAATTACCTCATATAAAAATAGTCTTTGACATTTTATTGGATAATTACAACTTCGAACATGTTTATAATTTTCAGGGTGCCCATTGGGAACATGTGAATAGTCCGCAAGCTTTGCTAGCAATTAGCGCTTGCAACAATATAATTTGGACTGTAGGTCGAAAAGGAGAACTGTATTATAGACAAGGTATATCTGAAGAGAATCCTGGTGGTTCCGATTGGAAACTAATAGAGGCACCAAAATGTGGTTTCACTTACGGTCAGAAAGGATCGATTGGTGCTAAAGCAATTTCTCTAACCAAAACCTCGGCTTGGGTTTTACTCACCAATGGTGCAATTGCAGTTAGAACTGGTATAAGTAAAGAACAACAAGATGGTAAACAGTGGAAATTTATATCAGGTATGAATTAGAACTATTATTAAATAATAATAAGAATAATCAAGAACCATAGAAAATTTATAATGTACCTCAAAATGTATGAGTATTTTTTCCCTAGCTGTTTATTAATTTTTTTTTTAATTTCTTCATCATTATAGATTGTGAGCAATCATTCAAACATGTATCGAGTATCGACCGTGAGATATGGGCGGTACGGTCGGACGGCGCGCTGCAACGTCGGCTGGGCGTCACAGCGGAGAACCCAGCTGGTACCACCTGGCAAATGGTGCTTCCTGCTAACTTCATACACGTCTCGGCTAGGGGAGGCTGCTTTGCATAGAATTACTAGCTAATTTAACCGTTGAACTCCACTGCCCTGACATTTATTGCAGTAGCAGATTTGTCAAAGCGAATGAAAGGCATGTGTATTAATAAGTAAACTGCAGTGGAATTCCAAATTTATGTTGTCATGACAATCAACAATGTACTGTCTAGTTTAGAATTCTTGGCTATGTGATAAAAGGTGGTGTGTATGTATGAGTTAAACTTTATAACTTAATGTATTGAAAACCAAAAATTTTGATTTTTTAAAATTTATTTATTATATTTTTAATTGGTTTTAAGTGATAGTAGCTGTCTGGAATTTTACACATAATTAAACCAGTGTTTTATTAAAAATGATGTAGAAAACGTGCTAAAATCGCAGAAAATTTCTAAAATCTAATTTATTAAAAAAAAAAATACTATTTTACTTATAATTGCTTTCTTATTATTAGGCTAATTGGCAGTATTTTTGTGTAAGATAAGAATAGAGATCATGTTTATATACCATGTACTACAAAATATTTATTACATTCAGACTTGTTTCTAGAAGATTTGTAACCACTTCGTAATGATATTTGACGTCGTTTTCCTTTTAATTATTCAGGGTTCAAAATAACTAACATTCCCATATAAAAGATCTCTCGTAGATTTTAAATGTACTGAATTTATTTTAGTTTGCTCAAAGAATATACTTTTTTGTAGGTAATTTATTTATTGAATAGGGTAATTTATTTAATGTAGCTTTTTTATTTATATCATTTGTATAATGTACATAAACGGCTAGTCAGTCTAAATAAAAGATTCTTTTTTATTCTTATTATATAAAATAAGAATAAAAGCAAAACTATTAAGAAAATTGTACCAAAAACTTAAGCTTAATGCTTCCCATGGTAATTAAAATATTGCCTTTAATATTGCTTTTTATTGATCCCCATCATATTTGATAATCATTTTAAATATAGACATTTAAAATAAATTGCTTCTCATTCTGTTACGTAACGCTAAAAGAATCACTGATTAGGCATAAAATAAACAAAGTTATTTCGACTCTTATAATTATATAGATTTTTGACATACATTCTAAATAAATCTAAATTAACACAAAAAGAAAAGAAACAATGTTATCCCGCAAGAATATAATATGAGAGCTACAGCGTGTAATCCAGTTCGTATCTGAGGAAGTGATTGTTGGGTTCGTTGTGTATGCGCGGGTAGCCAGCGACCAGCGAATCCTGTCCGCCGATGTACAGAGTGTTGTAGATCTTCCAGTACACGTCGCGCACTTTCCTCGCGGGATGGAATAAGCCCTGTAAACAGAAACACTTTAATCTTCCTGCAGCTGTTATGAAATGAAATTATAGTTCATAGAAAGTATAAAAGATTTACCTTAATTATTTTTATTAAATATAGCCCTTTCTAAGTGTTATGTCGTTTTTAGTACATATACCAAAATTGCATAATATCACATAACTCTCACGACCTTAATACAGAACGGTAGAAACTTCTACACCTCTCGCTCCTTTTTTTTACTTTTACATACTCATAGATAATTACCTGTAGAGCATACTGCAATATCTTAATGGGCCCGAGAGCGACCCTCATGCCCTCCACAGCATCCATGAAAGCCTGCACCAAATGCGGCGAAGTCTCGAAGATGTTGGGCCACACGTGGTTCAACAGATGAATGAGAGCGTCCTCGCAACCGAACCCGTATACGCCCAGCGCCATGTGTTTTATCGCCGCGCACGCCGTTTGCCGATGTACAAGATCTCTGGATATTAAAAACAAAATGTTTTTACAACTGTGAGTTGTGGATTTCCACTGACACATGAAAAACATTGTCATTGGCATCACTGTTTGTAAAACAGAAAACAAATTCGTTTTATCACGGCTATATTCTAAAAGTTATTTACCTGTCCATAAGCGCGTCTTCCAGCAATGGACAGACCGCGTATATGTAATCTTTGCCCATCTCGCCGATGTATTCAAACAGGAAGGACAGTGACTTGAGCACGCCGTTCTGCACGTTGAGCTCGGGCACGCGGTACTCGTTCATCAGCGCCGGCAGCACAGTGAACGGCGAACACGTCTCCGCCACTATAGCGATGGCCACCGTTGTACATACTCTGCACAAAAATTACAAATACACATATCAAATGTTACTTAATCTTTATTTCAACACGTCCAGTGCCATCAAATAAGCATTATTATTAGGATTTCAAGTTAAATTTCATACATGAAATTCAAGACAAATATAAGGAAAACAAACCCTGGTGGGTACTTTATTCAAGTTAATGTAACTTTTTTAAATATTGTTTTACTAAATAATTACTGTATTGACTGTTTTGAATATTAATAAAATACTTTTTTAAATTCAACATACCTGTTTTGTCTCTCTTGCACCTTTAAGTTATTAAGTAATGTCGCGAGGACATCATGTGGGCCGATAGCCTTGGCGATGTAACCAAATGTATTGACAGTGGCTCTTCGTATCGCCTTCTTGTGCGCCTTCAGCAGCTCCAGCAGCTCGAAGCATATCCTCATCCACTCGCGCGCCGACACGAACTCCGGCCCGCGGTCAGCGATGCGACCAACTAGATCGATACAATTCTCTTGTACTTTCTCATGTCTAATAACACACACGGAAACATTTATTAGTATTTTTGTATATACATTTTTTTATAACAAGCTTCAAAGTGAGAATTAATCATTGATTTTTGTAATGTTAAGTATTTTGTTGGTCAAAAAATGCAGAAGACGGTAGACCAAATGAAAGTATTTATAAAGTTGGGATAAAAATGAAGTGAAAAAAATTGGTATAGCACAACTATCGCATCATTGTACCTGTTTTTCAATATGGGAGTGAGCCTGGGCAGGAGATCTTTGATGGGCGGCGTCATCTTCGTCATACCGATCACGTTAACAATTGCCTTCAGCGCGCCCAGTATTGACCCTAACACTTCTGGATACTCTTCACCCAAATACTCGTAAAGTACCACACCAAGATGACCCATTAATTTTTCCTGCACAAAAGAAATATTGCTTGAAATGGCTTCATAAAAGAACGTTAATAACTTATAGTCATCATTTAAATGCCACAAAAACATGTCTATCTATGATATTGTTACATGAAGACATTCTCAGGATAAATATGTCTTATATTTATGAATTTTATTGTAACTATGCTAGTATTTAAACATAATAAAGTAGTTCTGACCTCTTGGCACGTCTTCATGACGACGGCGATACGTGAGATAAGATCAGCGGCCTGCTGGCGCACTTTGGCTGACTTGTTGTTCATACGCCACAGGATGATACCGCAAATCTGCGGCAGGTAGGGCTTCACGCGCTTACCCAGCTGGTTCACGATCGTGCCGAAACCGTTCAGCATTACCACGTCCTGGGAACAAATAAACATTTAAATATTTCCAATTTCTTTTATCAACTTTCCTATAGTTACATTAAAACATACTACTATGCTAGTTGACATTTTAAAGGTAATTAGTTCTAAAAACCAAAATTATGATATACACGTGTTTGAAGTATTTTCACAGAGCAGTTTGAAAAAAAAATACTTTCATGTCTGCTAAAAAGGTTAAGTTCTTATTTCAAGTAAAACATTTATAAACCTCAGTGGTTTGTTCCTGGAATGCGTAGAGGATGCCGTCAATAAGCGCTTCTTCTAACTTGGAATCGATATCCGCAGCGCCCAAGTTGGCCAGGATCTTTTCGATTGACTCCATAACCATCTTCCTGTATTGTTCATTGTCGTCTTTCAGGTCGTCCACTATTCTGTTTATTATTTCTGAGGCTCCGACCTGCAAAAATAATATTGGTTGATGATATTGAAGTATGGATGTCACCACATAACTCAAGAATGGCTAAACAAAATTATACAACATTTTAAAATAGATTCAAACATACAAAATAGCATTTAGGCTATTATTTTATCCCGGAAAAATAATCCAGGTTCCCGTGGGACATTTTTTTTTTGTTTATTCACAAGACAAAATACATTCAGATTTTTATTTCACCACCATGGATTAAGATTCAGACAATAGCTAGTTATGAGAAAAATTACAAGTGTCGCTGACCTTATTAGCAATTTCAACAGTAGTATCGACCAGTTGTCGGTAGTTACGTCTGTCCAGGGCCATGCGGTGGTTCCAGAAGTGCTTGAAGAAGTGCGGCAGGATCTCGTCCATTATGTACTGAGGCTCCACACCGTCGGTGCCGCAACACTGTTTCACTACCTACAACAAACACAATGCCATTTTAACATACTTATATCTGTTGTTTTAAAATTTTATTACAAGTGTTAATTGTTTAAGTTCCAAGACTTCAAAAATAACAAGTTTAAGTATTATAACAATTTGCAATCTTAGTCTTTTTATCCCTTTTTTTAACTTGAAATAATCTTGTTAACATATTAAGTCATCAAATTTAGGTAACAAGAAAAATATATTCAGAGTTCTACTAGGAAATTGTGTATTTTTATTTACCTTCAAAACAATCTTTTTCATTTCTTCATCGGGGGACTGGAACTCACGAATAAGGATAAGCATCACTTCTCTTGTATAATAATTAGCGTACTCGGCGTCCATAAGCGGGATGAGGTATCCAATAGCCTTGAGGAAAGCAGCCAGACCTTTTCCTCTATGTGTTCTGATACCCTTCCACAAAGGCTTGAGTACTGAATCGAAAGACTCGATACCATATGGAGTTGCAGCTTCGGCTAAAGCTGCGCTGGCTAAGGCAGTAATGGTTCGCACTTTTTGTTGCTCATCCACAAGTCCTGTTCAAAGATATAAATTGGTTATTATCAAACAACAAGAAATAATCTGATTTTATCAAATATTTTTAAAGACATAATACAAAGGTAGAGGAAGACTAAAGAAAGTATGGATAGATTGTGTGAAAGAGGATATGCGTAAGAAGGCAGTGGATTCAGATATGACGGCTGATAGAGATGATGTATGTAGTAGTACATACTGTGCTGACCCTCTGTAGGAAGAAGGGCAGATTGTTGATAAAGGTAATAAGAAACTTACCATGTTCAATAATCTCGACCAATGATTTAAGATGTGGCAGAATGGCACAGCCCATGAGGATGGCAATCTGTTGCACAATCTTTATACCAGTGTGCCGCGCCTGCCATGACTTCTTAGATCTGCATACCGCCTTCAAGAATGGCAGGAGAGACGGTATACCTAAAAAGAATTATTAATCAGTAAAAGAGCTAAAAAAATTACTGGTTATGTATAATAATATTGTTTTTTTTATACCTAAAGCAGAGGCTACGACAGCGAATGCTCTTGCAGTGGTGTTTCGTACATACTCATCAATGTTGTCTATATCAGGTCTCATTGTGGAGATCATGGTCGCCAAACCGGCCGCCTTTGCGAGGTTAGAAATTATCTCACGACCTTCCACACGGGCGTAGTAATCTTCGTCAATCAAAAGAGGTTCTATCACCACCAAGATCTGAAAGCAAGATGAATATATAAAATAAATAACATAATAACAGCTCAAATAATACGATATACATACGATATGACTTGAGGCTATTTAACACCCTTTAGATTCGAACAGATAACAGTGATAGAAATTTTAAGACAATTATTGAAATAAGTAAAATTACCTTGTGCACATAAGGTCGTACAAGATCATCCAGCTTGTACAGAATCCTGTCAATGACCTTGACGAGGAGATGCCGCTCCTGGTCCTCAAGTGTGGGGCTCATGAGCAGTGGCAGGATTTGGTTGAAGAGCGGCCCCGCGCCGAAATCGCGCGCCTTGTCCGTTATCTGACGCAGCGCCGCCTTGCACATCGGTGGGGTGCCGTTCTGAAAACATAACAAATTAAATTAATAAGATTATTATAGCTGTAAGATTTCCATGTAAATAAATAAATAAATAAAAAATGGAAATTGCTCAATATTCTAGTTTTAAAACAAAGTAAATAGACAACTGACCTTAATCTTAAGTAGCAGTTTCATTATCTTCCTCTCTTTAAGTTCCTCCGGCGAGAGTGCGTCCTCATCCACGTCTATGAGCAGTTTGTCAAAGTACTGGGCGTCCTCCGGCTTCATGAAGGGCAGTTGCTGCCCGCCCTTTGGCTGGGGCTCCAGCAGCCGCGCCGCTGCCGCCGCGGAGCCCCCGACTTCCTCCGTCTGCATGAAAAAGCCGATTGGGGTACCAGCCAATGGTGTAGGCGTCGCGGTCAGCTTACGAGCCGGCGTCCGAATCGGGACGTAACCTGGGCAATAATATAATTAATTAATGTCACACCCTATCTTTAGAACCGCTTTAGCATGCTCATAGTAGCAAATAAACAAAAGCAAAGCTTATTCCAGTCCAACGGCTCGACTGATAAATTGTCATCTTTCATCTGAAAGGAAAACCGAGTATTAATTTCTTTGATAGATTTTATATTTAAGGCATGTATGCACAGATATACACCGGTACTGGTTTATCCGCCTTGTTTATACATGAAGCCTGAAACTAAAGTGTTGAATGATTACTAATAGTCCACTTCAACTAGTTCCTCACTTAATTAAAAAATAATAAAACAAAGATGCAATCGATACTTACCGGCCGGGGGCGGTAAAACCTTGTACCCGGGAGGGAACATGGCATCCAATTCTTCATCGGTGTACGGGCGGTTGCGTTCGTCTATTTCTTTCTCCCAGCGGTACGCCTGCAGCTGTTCCGGGGTCATGGCTGCGACGTGGCCCGGCGTGGGTGTCGCCATCGCCATGGCTTTTACACCGACGGGAGTTGACTGAACACAATATTTACATAAATAAATTATTGATACCAATGATTTAAATATGCATTGTTCATTACATCATGTTACACTTTAAGGATAAAATGTAAATTATTCATAACTTACTCCTCCAGGGGTAAACACCGGAGTATGCGGTGTGGGCGTGGCGTGTGAGGGCGTGGCATGCGAAGGCGTCGCGTGCGAGGGCGTAGCGTGAGAAGGTGTAGGCGTGGCGGGTATAGGTGTAGCCCCCGGTGTCTCATCCCAACGCGATCTACGTTTCGTCCCCGGAGTCGGTGTCTCTTGAATAGTATCAACTCCCACACCACGATCAGTACGAGGAGTTTCTGCCCATCCACTATTGTGCCCAGGTGTTTCTGTAAATTAAGGATCAAACTGTAATATGTATAATATTCAAATCTCAATATTGAGGCCTACACAGGTGGTACTTGTTAAACCTTTAGTAAAATAACTTGAATGAATTGCAATGGTGATGAAAAGATGTATATTTTAATAAAATTACGTTTAAATATTGTACCTCTGTCAGTTTTGGGCGTCTCATCCCAGCGGTTCCGCCGGGAAGCCTGCTGTGCGGGCGTGTCGCGGCCGGGCGTAGCGTGGCCCGGTGTGGCGTGTCCTGGCGTGGCGTCCCACACGCGTGCAGACGGAGTAGCGCCGGGGGTCTCGCCGCCACGCCCACTCGCACCAGGCGTTTCTTCCCAAGCACCTCTCTAAAGTCAAGACAGAGAGTCAAGATTTACATCTGTGAATTACGATTTATATATGACTGAATTACAGCTGCAACTTAGCTAATACGGTACTTTGGCTCCTTTGAAAAAAGTTAATTGATGCAGTTTGAATTAATTAGAATAAATATGTTAAAAATTGAATAACTTACTTCATTTTCCCATGAAGGTGTGGCTTGGGAGCTAGGTGTTGCTGTGACTGCTTTCTTAACAGATGGTGTGTCTTCAGAGCTCTGATCCCATCTGCCCTTCCGTTTAGCGGCAGCTGGTTTTGCTACTTCCCCATTAGGTTGGGCCACTGGTTTAAGAGTTCCTTCTCTAGCTTTCTCTAACAATTTTTTTCTTAACTGAAAACATGGTAAAATGTTAATACTATATGAATTTATTTTGAAGTTATTTTTTTAATCATTGATTAAACAACAATTATGTAAACCAAAAATATAAAATTTTAATTTAAAATTGATTATTTTATCAGATCTCAGAATTGTTGTAACTATCAATAAGACAATTCCTTACCTCTGTCTCTTCAGCTCGCAAATATTGTTCTTTCATGATCTCTGTATATGTCCTAGATCCAACATCAGGAGTTTTTCCACCTGAAAACACATTATACAGCAATTTGTTTTAACACAATACAAAGTGTATATTTCAGCCAATTTTATCATACAGGGTTATTTTTTTATCCTCAATAAAAAACAGTCAAAAGTTATTAACAAATTAAAATTGGAAATATTCCTATACAAACATAGTCCCGATAATTTTACAAAGTACTATGAGTCATTATATCCATGAAAATTACTATGTTGTATGGGGGTGAAGTGAGTTTGGCAAATTTTATTGTGGCTTTTTATGAAGACAATGGGGCTGAAACTACTATTACAAGTTATTTTGCACCTACACTGGTATATTTATTGCAATCAACCAATAATTAGTTTACATAGGTTAGTTTTTCAATATTGCTTATATTACATTAAATTTCATAAATAATATTCATATCAGTAATAGACATTATAGTTTTTTTTCTGACAAATAAAAATAACTCTGTACTCTTAGTGGAGTATATCACACATACCTTCTGCAAAAGGGTCATTTCTTTCAGGAGATATAATCATCCTGCGTCTCTTTTGGCGGTACTCATCTTCTCTATCTGCAATTGTAGGTCTTCTTTTATCTGCAAATGGGTCATAGTCTTTGTCACTCTGCAACAGAAATGTATCAAACAATGATTTTAACAACATAACCTATAACCATTGAGTCTTTTACTCGGTATATTATTTACCTGTGCAATATCATTGAGAAGTGATGCAGGTGCAGTGTAGCCTGGTCTTTTCTGTGATATCGGGACATTTTCAACATCTTCATCTTCAACTTCATCATTTGCAGCTATTGATGTCACATAACCATCATATCTTGACTTGCCACCATGTCCAGCATTATCGTAAATGTCACTGTCGTAATAAGTGTCTCCCAATGATACTCCTTTCCCTGTACCATTTTCTGGTAATTCATTTTTTTTCTGTTGAATCTCCCTTATCTGAGCTTCTATAGCTGTAATTACAGATTTTTGTTAAACAAATTAATTAAAAAAATTAAGTATTAAAATTAATTAACTGTGGAAAAAACTAAGTAACTACCAGTGTATAAAGATTGTTATCGCTGTGTAACTGAATATTCTTATTTGAAACATATTATGTATGTTAAGGAAAGCAGTGCGGATCGGAAAATTATTTTATTGTTTTCTCGGTTGGTCAGGACCTACATTAAATCGCAATCACTTGAAATTTGGATTACTCAAATACAATCAAATTTATTAACCTAAATAATAAATTGCTGGATTTAGAAACAATGGTAACAATACTTTTATTGGACCTTAAGGTATTGTATTTACTTTGAACATTAATATGAAATGCATAATTAATAACAGATTATACAGTAAATAAACGATAGTGGCCATAAAATGCTTTGTTGGTTATAGGTGTTGTGATTGCTTAAAAAAATTTAAAAGCTATGATTAACAAAATTATAGGTAATGAATGTTAAATGAATTTTGTAAACTTTGTTACTTTAGAAGAACACAACATAATATAAATACAGAGAGGCACGTAAACTAAAATGGCGAGTTGCAAAACTTCGGGTATAACAGCATTTTAAACTTACCTTCATGCGTGCGAGGTATTTTATCCATTATTATAATGTCATTAGCAAAATGTGTATCTTCTTAAAAT